CTCTCCTTGTTTGGAATGATCTCCTAAATCCCCCTTTTGTGAATTAAACCTCACCAGGACAAGAGCAAATGCCAGCTAACATATAAAACATTTAATACATAAATATATGTACATAATGAAAACATATGATAAGCAATATGACTATACAACACTCTAAACTGCTACAACCCAGTAGCACTCCAATATCATATCCTGGCGTGTCACAACAATACTATATCCTCAGCCCTAAAGGTATATGAAACTCAGCTTGGGGCTGAAACACCAGAAACGTCTACATAAGTATCCCCAACAAAAGAAGAAATCAATCTCTCACCTTACACTGCGTCTTACTCGCCAATAACCATTCAATCACTCTCCTTATACAGTCATGTGTCCACTATGAACCTCTGTTCTGCTACTAGAGGCTCGGTAATATCTCAAGGTCCTCCAAAATCTCAGGAAAGCACTTCAGCAGTTCTCCCAATCTGCTGCACAACCAAGTCCTACTCCAACATCAGTGACGGGTCTCCACTGATTCCATAAAGAAACGTGTAGCTCCCCTACACTGTTTGAAGTCAACTCCTCACTATGGAGTTCTACTCTGCCTCAAGAGTTCAGCATACACTTCTTCTCCCAACTGTGGTAGGTACTCCCTCATCCTGGACGAATCCAAGCTGGAAACATGTCTTAACACACCACCAGGAGCTTTCGTAGGGCTGCGACGCTGGGGGGCCGCCGCCCCTCAGTCGACCCTTGATCTCCATCGAGAGCGGACGTACTACTGCTCCCTCAAGCATGTTCCCTTAACTTTAATTCCTTGTTCTAGCTCGATGGCTCAATAAATCACTACCCTACAAATACCTATATTCACTATGATCGCTGGGCACACGTTCAAACACTGGTAGCTAATCTAACAACTAATTAAGCAGGCTTACGGCAGGGATCTATGACATAGAGAGCTCACTCCCTGACCCTCAACAGGGCGCTCACACAGGCCGCCCACAAAAATCGCTATAAGACTGCTTCACAAGGCTTCTTCTAGTCCTGACTTGAGTACACGGAGTCGCCCGGCAGGCTCCACACAGAAACATCTACTTACTTCCTTCTTCTTGAAGAAGCACAGAAATTAGAGTTTCACAAAGGTACGACCAAGACTCACTTCCAGGCCACGCCTCTAATTTATCAAAACCACAGAGAAATGGTGTACTATGTCCCCAACAGCTTCCTCACACTTGCAGACAAGTAGCCTTCACTCCACCACTAACACAGGGAACTATATTCTTCCTCCTTCCAGGAGATCAAGAAGTACGACCACCTCTGACGACTGCTGTGACTCAAGTGAGGTCACGCCGTCCTGCTAGCGTCACGTCACGTCACCAAAGTATCGACATCTCATTTCATGTCACTTTTAATTGGACACTCATCCTCTGCTGGTATTTTTAAATTACTTACTGACGTTTATTATATATTTTCTTTCTCTGACCCCTTAATCTCAGGTCTGGAAAGCAGAGTAACTCTCACAGGGTAGACTGGTTCCATCCGGGCTACATGGGGTCATAACAGCAAGCAATGGAAGGCAAGCAATTGTAGGCAATCACTGGTTGGCAAGCAATAGAATGTAAGCAATTGTAGGCAAGCAATTGTAGGCAAGCAATGGTAGGGCAAGCACCCACAAGAGGATAGAAGTTATGGATCACTACTGATGTCCTGTTTATTGAAGCAGAGAGGACGGTGATGGAGGAGCCGTCCCCGGCCACCACACAGCATCATAATAATGGTGTCCTCGTCTCTTCCTGACAACTGGTTTATTAAACACAGCTGATGTGGGGTTTTATCTCAACCTCCTCCTCCCCCCCGCACTCCCAGCCCTCAACCTCCACCCCCCCTCACTCCCAGCCCTCAACCACCACCCCCCTCAATCCCAGCCCTCAACCTCCACCCCCTCACTCCCAGCCCTCAACTTCCACCCCCCTCACTCCCAGCCCTCAACCTCCACCCCCTCTCTCCCAGCCCTCAACCTTCACCCCCTCACTCCCAGCCCTCAACCTTTCCCCCTCACTCCCAGCCCTCAACCTTCACCCCCGCACTCCCAGCCCTCAACCTCCACCCCCTCTCTCCCAGCCCTCAACCTCCACCCCCTCACTCCCAGCCCTCAACCTCCACCCCCTCACTCCCAGCCCTCAACCTCCACCCCCGCACTCCCAGCCCTCAACCTTCACCCCCTCACTCCCAGCCCTCAACCTCCACCCCCGCACTCCCAGCCCTCAACCTCCACCCCCTCACTCCCAGCCCTCAACCTCCACCCCCTCTCTCCCAACCCTCAACCTCCACCCCCTCACTCCCAGCCCTCAACCTCCACCCCCTCTCTCCCAGCCCTCAACCTCCACCCCCCTCACTCCCAGCCCTCAACCTCCACCCCCTCTCTCCCAGCCCTCAACCTCCACCCCCTCACTCCCAGCCCTCAACCTCCACCCCCTCTCTCCCAGCCCTCAACCTCCACCCCCTCTCTCCCAGCCCTCAACCTCCACCCCCCTCACTCCCAGCCCTCAACCTCCACCCCCTCACTCCCAGCCCTCAACCTCCACCCCCTCACTCCCAGCCAGCCCTCAACCTCCACCCCCTCACTCCCAGCCAGCCCTCAACCTCCACCCCCTCACTCCCAGCCAGCCCTCAACCTCCACCCCCTCACTCCCAGCCCTCAACCTCCACCCCCTCACTCCCAACCCTCAACCTCCACCCCCTCACTCCCAACCCTCAACCTCCACCCCCTCACTCCCAGCCCTCAACTTCCACTCCCCTCACTCCCAGCCCTCAACCTCCACCCCTTCACTCCCAGCCCTCAACCTCCACCCCCTCTCTCCCAGCCCTCAACCTTCACCCTCTCACTCCCAGCCCTCAACTTCCACCCCCCTCACTCCCAGCCCTCAACCTCCACCCCCGCACTCCCAGCCCTCAACCTCCACCCCCTCACTCCCAGCCCTCAACTTCCACCCCCCTCACTCCCAGCCCTCAACCTCCACCCCCTCTCTCCCAGCCCTCAACCTTCACCCCCTCACTCCCAGCCCTCAACCTTTCCCCCTCACTCCCAGCCCTCAACCTTCACCCCCGCACTCCCAGCCCTCAACCTCCACCCCCTCTCTCCCAGCCCTCAACCTCCACCCCCTCACTCCCAGCCCTCAACCTCCACCCCCTCACTCCCAGCCCTCAACCTCCACCCCCGCACTCCCAGCCCTCAACCTTCACCCCCTCACTCCCAGCCCTCAACCTCCACCCCCGCACTCCCAGCCCTCAACCTCCACCCCCTCACTCCCAGCCCTCAACCTCCACCCCCTCTCTCCCAACCCTCAACCTCCACCCCCTCACTCCCAGCCCTCAACCTCCACCCCCTCTCTCCCAGCCCTCAACCTCCACCCCCCTCACTCCCAGCCCTCAACCTCCACCCCCTCTCTCCCAGCCCTCAACCTCCACCCCCTCACTCCCAGCCCTCAACCTCCACCCCCTCTCTCCCAGCCCTCAACCTCCACCCCCTCTCTCCCAGCCCTCAACCTCCACCCCCCTCACTCCCAGCCCTCAACCTCCACCCCCTCACTCCCAGCCCTCAACCTCCACCCCCTCACTCCCAGCCAGCCCTCAACCTCCACCCCCTCACTCCCAGCCAGCCCTCAACCTCCACCCCCTCACTCCCAGCCAGCCCTCAACCTCCACCCCCTCACTCCCAGCCCTCAACCTCCACCCCCTCACTCCCAACCCTCAACCTCCACCCCCTCACTCCCAACCCTCAACCTCCACCCCCTCACTCCCAGCCCTCAACTTCCACTCCCCTCACTCCCAGCCCTCAACCTCCACCCCTTCACTCCCAGCCCTCAACCTCCACCCCCTCTCTCCCAGCCCTCTACCTTCACCCTCTCACTCCCAGCCCTCAACTTCCACCCCCCTCACTCCCAGCCCTCAACCTCCACCCCCGCACTCCCAGCCCTCAACCTCCACCCCCTCACTCCCAGCCCTCAACCTCCACCCCCCTCACTCCCAGCCCTCAACCTCCACCCCCTCACTCCCAGCCCTCAACCTTCACCCCCTCACTCCCAGCCCTCAACCTCCACCCCCCTCACTCCCAGCCCTCAACCTCCACCCCCCTCACTCCCAGCCCTCAACCTCCACCCCCTCACTCCCAGCCCTCAACCTCCACCCCCTCACTCCCAGCCCTCAACCTTCACCCCCTCACTCCCAGCCCTCAACCTCCACCCTCCTCACTCCCAGCCCTCAACCTCCACCCCCTCTCTCCCAGCCCTCAACCTCCACCCCCTCTCTCCCAGCCCTCAACCTTCACCCCCTCACTTCCAGCCCTCAACTTCCACCCCCCTCACTCCCAGCCCTCAACCTCCACCCCCGCACTTCCAGCCCTCAACCTCCACCCCCTCACTCCCAGCCCTCAACCTCCACCCCCCTCACTCCCAGCCCTCAACCTCCACCCCCTCACTCCCAGCCCTCAACCTCCACCCCCTCACTCCCAGCCCTCAACCTCCACCCCCTCACTCCCAGCCCTCAACCTCCACCCCCCTCACTCCCAGCCCTCAACCTCCATCCCCTCCCTCCCAGCCCTCAACCTCCACCCCCTCACTCCCAGCCCTCAACCTCCACCCTCTCACCCCCAGCCCTCAACCTCCACCCCCGCACTCCCAGCCCTCAACCACCCCCCCTCACCCCCAGCCCTCAACCTTCCCACACAAACAGCTCTCATTACAACCATTCGTGTCCAACTTATTATAAATAATAATGGTTTTAAAAATATGCGTGAAAAGGGTCGTTCTCTATATGTACAATATCTCTTATTTTATGGACAAGAACCTGTTAGTTTTAATATATTGTTCTCAATAGTTGTTGTCAAGCATGAGACGAAACAAACTAGTGGGACGTGACCTCATTGACCTTCAAGGTGTATGGAGTTGCCTCATTAAGCGTGGCGGCACTCACACTAACCACCAAGACACACCCACTAACCACTAAGGTACAGAGCCACTAACCTGCGAGAAGTTGAGACCATTGAGGGGGACACACTGCTCCTCCACCCTCTCCACAGCACCTGTGCGCTTGGTGAGACGCTCGGCCTCTTGAGCCAGGTACAGGTCAAGCACAGGCACACCGCGGCTCCTGATGTCGCTCTCCGTCAGGGAGTTGACCATCAGCATCACCCACACCGGCCGCTTCCTCTCCCAGTTACCTGTGGTGCAAGGAGAACCAACTTATAATCACTGGTTATATATATTGTATGAACTTTAGGCGGGGATTTCTTCCTATTGGGGAGTGTTGTACATGCTATGGTGGTATGTCCCCTCACTCCCAGCCCTCAACCTCCACCCCCTCTCTCCCAGCCCTCAACCTCCACCCCCGCACTCCCAGCCCTCAACCTCCACCCCCGCACTCCCAGCCCTCAACCTCCACCCCCGCACTCCCAGCCCTCAACCTCCACCCCCCTCACTCCCAGCCCTCAACCTCCACCCCCCCCTCTCCCAGCCCTCAACCTCCACCCCCCTCACTCCCAGCCCTCAACCTCCACCCCCGCACTCCCAGCCCTCAACCTCCACCCCCGCACTCCCAGCCCTCAACCTCCACCCCCCTCACTCCCAGCCCTCAACCTCCACCCCCTCACTCCCAGCCCTCAACCTCCACCCCCTCACTCCCAGCCCTCAACCTCCACCCCCCTCACTCCCAGCCCTCAACCTCCACCCCCCTCACTCCCAGCCCTCAACATCCACCCCCCTCACTCCCAGCCCTCAACCTCCACCCCCGCACTCCCAGCCCTCAACCTCCACCCCCGCACTCCCAGCCCTCAACCTCCACCCCCCTCACTCCCAGCCCTCAACCTCCACCCCCTCACTCCCAGCCCTCAACCTCCACCCCCTCACTCCCAGCCCTCAACCTCCACCCCCGCACTCCCAGCCCTCAACCTCCACCCCCGCACTCCCAGCCCGCACTCCCAGCCCGCACTCCCAGCCCTCAACCTCCACCCCCGCACTCCCAGCCCGCACTCCCAGCCCGCACTCCCAGCCCTCAACCTCCACCCCCGCACTCCCAGCCCGCACTCCCAGCCCTCAACCTCCACCCCCGCACTCCCAGCCCTCAACCTCCACCCCCGCACTCCCAGCCCTCAACCTCCACCCCCCTCTACTCTGTAACCCTGGAACATCTCGCTCTCTAAGGTAGGAACTCGGGGGAGAGAGTTCCTACCTAGGCAAGTCTCTATCACCTCCATTTTATCAAATTGCCAGTTTTCATCTATTGTTATTTTAACATTTAAAAAAAACAAGAAAAAATCACTTTTTGTAGTATTAAATATTAAAGTACATACTTGTTTCAATTTTTTTCTCATTTTGCCCCGAGGGGCGAGTTTATTGGGCAGCGTCACTCATCCTATGAGTGGACACACCGCCATAGTGACAGTATTGGGCAGCACCACTCATCTTGTGAGTGGACATACCTCCATAGTGACAGTATTGGGCAGCGCCACTCATCCTGTGAGTGGACACACCGCCATAGTGACAGTATTGGGCAGCGCCACTCATCCTATGAGTGGACACACCGCCATAGTGACAGTATTGGGCAGCGCCACTCATCCTGTGAGTGGACACACCTCCATAGTGACAGTATTGGGCAGCACCACTCATCCTGTGAGTGGACACACCGCCATAGTGACAGTATTGGGCAGCGCCACTCATCCTGTGAGTGGACACACCGCCATAGTGACAGTATTGGGCAGCGCCACTCATCCTGTGAGTGGACACACCACCATAGTGACAGTATTGGGCAGCGCCACTCATCCTGTGAGTGGACACACCGCCATAGTGACAGTATTGGGCAGCGCCACTCATCCTGTGAGTGGACACACCGCCATAGTGACAGTATTGGGCAGCGCCACTCATCCTGTGAGTGGACACACCGCCATAGTGACAGTATTGGGCAGCGCCACTCATCCTGTGAGTGGACACACCGCCATAGTGACAGTATTGGGCAGCGCCACTCATCCTGTGAGTGGACACACCGCCATAGTGACAGTATTGGGCAGCGCCACTCATCCTGTGAGTGGACACACCGCCATAGTGACAGTATTGGGCAGCGCCACTCATCCTGTGAGTGGACACACCGCCATAGTGACAGTATTGGGCAGCGCCACTCATCCTGTGAGTGGACACACCGCCATAGTGACAGTATTGGGCAGCGCCACTAATCCTGTGAGTGGACACACCGCCATAGTGACAGTATTGGGCAGCGCCACTCATCCTGTGAGTGGACACATCGCCATAGTGACAGTATTGGGCAGCGCCACTCATCCTGTGAGTGGACAAACAGCCATAGTGACAGTATTGGGCAGCGCCACTCATCCTGTGAGTGGACACACCGCCATAGTGACAGTATTGGGCAGCGCCACTCATCCTGTGAGTGGACACACCGCCATAGTGACAGTATTGGGCAGCGCCACTCATCCTGTGAGTGGACACACCGCCATAGTGACAGTATTGGGCAGCGCCACTCATCCTGTGAGTGGACACACCGCCATAGTGACAGTATTGGGCAGCGCCACTCATCCTGTGAGTGGACACACCGCCATAGTGACAGTATTGGGCAGCGCCACTCATCCTGTGAGTGGACACTCCGCCATAGTGACAGTATTGGGCAGCGCCACTCATCCTGTGAGTGGACACACCGCCATAGTGACAGTATTGGGCAGCGCCACTCATCCTGTGAGTGGACACACCGCCATAGTGACAGTATTGGGCAGCGCCACTCATCCTGTGAGTGGACACACCGCCATAGTGACAGTATTGGGCAGCGCCACTCATCCTGTGAGTGGACACACCGCCATAGTGACAGTATTGGGCAGCGCCACTCATCCTGTGAGTGGACACACCGCCATAGTGACAGTATTGGGCAGCGCCACTCATCCTGTGAGTGGACACACCGCCATAGTGACAGTATTGGGCAGCGCCACTCATCCTGTGAGTGGACATACCACCATAGCATGTACAACACTCCCCAATAGGAAGAAATCCCCGCCTAAAGTTCATACAATATATATAAGCATAGAAATCTGAACACCAGTCTGAGATGCTGTAATTGGGTGACGAGTAATCAGGACAAATCCTAATTTCTCTTCTCAAATTGCACCTTCTTCTTCTTCTTCTTGAGAATAGGTGCAGTTTGCATGAAGGGGTAACCCTCCCGATGACTGCACCAGGACAGATGTAAGGAGACGCGTTGATGGTAAAGAGGAGAAGAAAGTCAAAAGCGGTAGACGTGATGGGCCGTAGAGAGAGGAGTGGCGACGAAAACAGAGGCGAACGTCAGAGGGAGACTCCCCGCACCGGGGGGCGGGGCGTCATGGTCACGGTGGCAGCTGATCCAGGCACGGCGTAGCGGTGCGCGCAAGACGGGAACTAATATTTCTCCGGAAACTTACGGTACGGAAAGCGCAAGCGGTACGCTTCCCAAACCACCCACAGGTCGGCGGGCAGCCGGCCATCAGGCTGTACCCTCGGCTGAGACATCCTATCCGGCACCCTATAAACAAACTCCTTCTTTGACGACACCCAGATAGTGGACGAGCACCACGGGATCGGAAGCACCCGGGCATCCCGATAAGGGCCCAACTCCGGACCCTCACAGGGCACGACCCCAGCAGACGGAACTAGGCAACCCCCAGACCGGGGCAAGGAAGGAGGGGGAACTGCAGGCGCGGCAGCGACCCCACCACAGGGCACAGGAGCCGAGGCTCCCTGGCGCACATCTTTCCGCAACTGCACGACGAGGTCCCGACCATCAGGGACAACCCCCCACTGCGGGGACCCAACAGCAGGAGACGCAGGAGGGGGGGCACAGGGAGCAACGTCGGAGCCCCTCACAGCACCATCATCCTCGGCGGGGGACGCCAGCTGAGCACCATACTCCCCCACCTCCTCCCAAGGCACACCACGAAGGGGGGAGACACTCCGAGCCCGCCGCGAACGCTTCGAGACAGGCCGCACCACACCACGCCCAGCAGGCCCCGCCGCAGGCACAGCCTCCACCGTCATATCCACACAGGCCACACCCGCACCGTCCGAAGAGGCCACATCACCCACACTGTCAACATCATCCACGGAAACAGCCTCAGAACACCGACGCGCACGCTTCTGCAAAGGAATGGGAAGAGCAGAACTACAGGAGGCAACACACTCAGGCACGGCATGCACCTCACCACGAAGCACCCCCTCCAAAACGGCAGAACCCGCGTCCCCGGGAGCCGGTAACACATCCACAGGCGGGGGCGGAACATGAACCTCCACCGGGACACTTTTCACTACACACAGCTCAGGCGACAGCCCAACACCCTCACACACCGGCGGAACAACCCCAGGGGCCACAGATGGCACTAGACGTGTCGCACAGGCCGGAGAGCTCGCCTCAACAGGCGGAGCAGATCTTATAGACAGGCAGTCAGGCGCCTCAGGCACAGCACCCACACCGCCCGAACGCAACAGGGGCGGAAAATCCTCCGCACGAAGAACATGCACACGACCAGTCGCTCCCACGTCGCACGCAGCAGCCAGATGACCCTCGTGACCACACCGATAACAGGTGCGTGGTTGACCCCGGTACTGGCAGCGGAGCGTGTATCCCAACACGGACATCGACGACGGTACACTACCGTCGTCGGTAGTGTACCGTCGTCAGGGTGCGTCAGGGTGCGGGAGCCGTCAAGCATACCAACACAGTGCCCGGCAACGACCTTGTTCCAACGAACACTCAACACTGTCCCAAACCGTTCGAAACAGGAGGTTAAAAAGTCGTCCTGAAATTCGAAGGGGGCACCATGCACCGTCACAGACGTCAAGGTGACACTAAGATTCACTACCTTAACTGAGCCAGCTGAATCAGGGAGAAGGTAAACACGCCCCTCACACCGCTCGAGAAACGCCTGAAAGGCAGCCTGGAGGCGGAACTTGACCACAGCACGGTGGCCCTGAAGCAGCTGGATGCCCACCAGGTCAGACAGCTGCACATGCAGCACGTCCACTAGGGCAACACCAACCAATGGATGGTCCACCGGCACCGTAAACGCCAGACCAGCTGACAGCGTCCTCTGCAATGGAGGGCGAAACGTCCCCATGGCGAAGCAAACGTCACCCCGTCAGTGGCAAACCACCACCAGCAGGGCAAACAAGCGATCACCCAACGTAAACACTA